CAAATTGACACGAGCGCCATCGCACACACACGAAGGCATCAACTCAGTCGGCAAGCTCGCACGCAGCTTCCCGCACACCCACACACACACACATGAACATAACGTTCCCAGGAGCACATCTCGTTAGGGGAACGCCAAGTCGCGGTTAGGATCGTGTGCGTTCATCGCGGGATCGAGTACAAAACACGCCGAGGTTGGTCTGTCTGGACTTTGGACTCGAAGCACACGGGTGATAACCACAACAGCAGCTAGTCGGGTGCCCCGCCCGTGAAGGGAGAGGTTACAGTTGTTGGTGGAAGAGACGGTAGCTCTGGGCGCACCTACTAGGGGCGCGAAGCCCCTGGTGGCGGTTTGGACTTGGGGAGTGTAGTTCGTGGAGTGTAGTTCTCGGGAGTCGAGAGGAAACATGTCTCCAGCTTTGCTACGCCAAACATGGCCATCACGAGGAACATGTCCTCCTCTCCAGCTAGCGCGCACAGCACAGCAAGCACAAGAACCTGCATGCACTCATCATACCACTCGTAGCGGATTCTACCTCGCGNGCAGGTCAGAATTTTTCGAAAACGTGGTGAAAATATTTTCACCTGAGGTATTTTAGGGTTCCCACCTGTGCTTTTTTTGACCTGAAATTTTGACACGAGCGGTTTTTTTGACCCGAGAGGTTACGCCGCCTCTTTCGGGTCAAAATTTCCAGGTCAGATTTTTCTGGAAGACGTGTCAAAATTCGGGGCAAATTTTNTCATCATACCACTCGTAGCGGATTCTACCTCGCGCAAGGCGCGCCATCCCCTCGCTCTGTGTCGGTGCGGTGATGAGGGAGCGCGACCGTTGTGTTTCCAGGCGGTGCAGCGGTGCAGCTGTTTTTTTTTTCTTTCTAGTATCACACAAAAAATCCATCTTTATCAATAGAAATACGCCTAAGATAGATTAGCAATGAATCCATAGCGTGAGCGAAAGGCTACCTGTATGTCTGCGGTTTCCCAGACAGCATACAACGATAACTCCCCTGTGGGTAACAGGCTCAACAAGGCAGTTTGGTAGCCATCTTGTGTATCAATCTGTATGTTATGTTGGGAAGTTGTAGACGGAAGATTTAGGGGAACTCGGTTTGTCGGGTGTTCTATTGTTGCACCCTTATGTGTTTGCGGAGCAAGCGCGTTTCGGGTTGTGTATAGTTTCGTCATCAACTTATTTATTGTTTGTGATGTATTGGGGCATGGCGGCGCGGGAGAACATATTTACCTTGTGCGTGTGTGTGTGTNTGCACCCTTATGTGTTTGCGGAGCAAGCGCGTTTCGGGTTGTGTATAGTTTCGTCATCAACTTATTTATTGTTTGTGATGTATTGGGGCATGGCGGCGCGGGAGAACATATTTACCTTGTGCGTGTGTGTGTGTTTTCGTCCTATGTGTAATGGCATGTCGTTCAATGTGAGAAGGGCACGGGAGAACATCTCATCGTTGCCTCCTGACGTGGCCGCCGATAGAGGCGTGTGGTTGGGGTGTCATCACTGACATGTGGGTGTGTGTTAAATGCAGTGGGTATGGTCGCCTCTCTCGCCCGTGTGTCGGCAGAAGAAGGTATAGCTACCTTTCCCATATATTTTCAGGCAGCGCGGACCATAAGTAAAGAAAGAGTGTATCATTTCATGCATCTACATTATCTGTATGTTGTTGTTGTTGTTGTTGTTGTTGTTGTTGTTGTTGTTGTTGTTGTTGTTGTCTTCACATTAAAACCGTTCCGATCTCTCTCTACCCGGTACCTTCGTATGTCCGTACTGATCCAACATTCGACATGGTCGATTCCCGTCGTCGCAGGTTGACATACCCTTAAAAGGTACATACACCCAACAAATAAATAAAAATTGCCCCGAGGGGTCCGCAAGTCAATATTCTGTAGTCTTTCTGTGCGTGTATTTATTTCTCCTTAATTTTTTTTAACTTCAGGTGGCGCCGCTGCTGGCCTTCGCCAGGCAACGTGCGGCGGAATATTTTTTCGTGTCATTTTACCAACCGTTACCTGTTTCGTGTCAATTTGCCAACCGTCACTTTATTTGGTGTCAATCTATCTCAGTGGAATTCGTTTGGCAGCGACGAAGGAGGAGGAGAGGGAACGGCCGGAGGACAAGGCAGAGACCAGAACAGCTGTCGAGGAGGGAATCATGGCGTGGAAGAAAGCAAGCCAGAGGACCTTACCCACCACAAACGACGCTAGGCCACAGAAGAAATATGGAAAAGTTGCTGTCAATATGATCTTTTTTTTTTTTTCTTCACTTCAAATCAGCGCTCACGGCACTAGTGCTGTTTACTCCAACCCGTGGTCACACAGGAGGAGAGCCCCTCTCTACCCTCCGCTCCTGCGGTACTTTGCCTTCGATTTTTAATGCGAGAAGAGTTCAGCACTCTCTTCCCTCTGTGTACACACGAACTAGCGCTATCCACGAGGCCAGGAACGGAAGCGAGAGAAAAACTCACTTTGCAAGAAAAGCTCGCTTACGCCGGGATTCGAACACCTGACCTGACCTCTAGAAGGTTTCGAGGTTACCAACTAGACCACCGGGGCGACCGGTGTATGGGAACGATGGAAATGAAAGCAAGGAGGATGATGGTGAACGCACCCCAAAACGAACTCGAGTGCAAGGTAGCAGCCTTGGTAGACGCGTGCAGTTTTTGTCTGTTGCTACCGTTTCTGTCTTTGATCCGGAAACTAGATTAGTCTCCCCATGCCGCCCCCTCACGGGGTCCCAGTTGAGAGTTTTGAAGTGTTTCATGTTTTCATCAACCGCACTGAGACTTACTACGTCGTTTCGTTGGTCAGCGGTTAGCGCGGTTGATGCAAACAACAACAAAAAAACACACAAGAGTCGAACATGCTCCAGCAAAGCAGCGTATGGCGCGCCATCAACCGAGGAAAAGAACTCGTTGGGAAAGAGTCTCGGAACGTGGACACGTTTTCGTGCAAGCAGCATTAGCCTACGCTAGTAGATCTACATACTTACTTGCCGGATGGTCGACGTGTCGTGATACGTTTCTTACTGTTAGACTAGTATGGGAAAAAAAACGGAAACGTAGCGTGAATTGTTATTTTGGCTACATGGCAGTAGTTATTGACTAGATTCACGTTCAGTCACACGCAGCCGCATGATAAAGGCCGACACGCGTCGGAAATGATTGGCAGCACGAAGCATAGACGTGCAGCACGGGTCTGCCAATTCTTGTTGACCTACCGCAAGCCATTGAGGGGTGGCGCACCTTCGGTGTTGTAGCACGCATGTTTCCACGCTACGCTGTTTTGCGCCGCAGCAGCACCCACAGCAACCAATACGCAGGTTCAATCACACACAGATAACGTCTGACACGTCACAACTGATTGACAGGATAGAACAGACGCGCAGCACGGGTCGCCCGTACTTGCAGATCTACCGCAAGCCAAAGCTTTGGACGCACGTGAATGCATATCGACAGCGGCACCACGCTTGATACAGCACACAGCAGCAAGTACGCGACAGCAACGTTTTCCTTTTCGCGTAAGAACTCTCCGCATGCGAGACGAAGCACTCTACTGCTGTAGTCTGGTGCGTTTCCCTATATCCATCACAAGGAAAGCAGAGGGAGCTGCGGCCACTGCCGTGCGCCTAGCACATCAATCTGGAAACTACTGCTGTGCCCCTGCCCTTGCAATTTTCTTCAGTTTTATGACTTTACGTACGTGATTTTTCCGACAATAATAGGAGAGTGCTCAATATGGAGCAGGTCTTGGGACGTTACGCTCAGCGTCGACACACCCCGGGGTTCACGGTTGGGCTGGTTGCTTTTCTTTTCCCCTATCTTTTCGCATGTCTTACGTCCAGAGCGTTTGTCCAGAGCTCCTTACCCGGTTGTATGCAATATGTATATCCAGAGATATCCCACAGTTTTCACAACTCGGAGTATATGATTGATAGGTTTACACGTAGGGCTGTTGTTGTAGCTCGTGCACACAAAGTTCCTACTCTTCTTTCGGTTGCGTGCCATAGAGGCTACGGTGTTATGTACTCGAAGTATATTGTAATCGCTCTTCCACTGCATGCACAGTAGTACATTTCATTTTTGTTCCTCGGGTCACCTTTTCCCCTCCTTCCAACAGCAGTGTGTACTCCATCAAGTTGCAACCGTTGCTATCTATCTTCAAAGCTTGCACGAGATATGTAGTAGGATCGACTATTCCCGCACCGAATGAAGGATGTGAATTGGTGACGGCGCGTCTTGGTTGTGTGAGACTACATATGCTTTGAACACGAAGTTTTTTAATGATTAGACTAGGAGTCTGCCCACGAAATGAAATGGTCGAGAGACGGTCCCGAACCACTGCACTACCGTACAACATAGAGTAAATGATTGAAAGCATCGACCTTAGTCGCGAAGCACACGTTGTCCGTTCGCGCAGACCTACTCGACATCAGTCAAACCTTATGCCCCCCCGCCCACTGGAGGCGCGGGGGGCGATGCTTCACCCTCCTGTGCCCACTCGCTCTTTGCGAACGTCTTCGCGTCTGTCTTCATTGCGTCTCCATACCCCCTTCTCGTCTTGCTTCTGCTGGTACCTTTCTTCCGCCCAAATCCTCACCGTCATCCATCCCGGTGTCGCCGCTCGCCCCATTGGGGGGCGGGAGGCCAAAAATCTTACCCTAGTACTTATATTTTACTCACCAAGCTTTTAGGGGCAGGGCCAAATCAGAGACCGGAAGAATCGCTGTCGATGGCTTGCCTCCGATAGAAGAAGTTCTCCACGGCTGGACTTCGTATCCACCCGTGAAGTCACGCTTGCCGCCCGCAGTCAGTGTTCCTCTATCGTTGTTTGCTGTCTCCACGAGAACCACAGTACCCGCCAGGAGGTCTGAACCCAGAGTGTTCGACATCTGTACGCACGACAATGTGATGATCGAGAGCGTCAGATCCTGATGAAGGTTCTGGTGGAACGCAGAACGAAGCATTCTATGAGGCCCGCTTGGTAAGACAACTCGATTGCTGATGCCATGAAATTACCCACGCAAGGGCGGATTCTCCCACCCACGGCCGGTGGTAGAGATTGCGCGCGTACTCACGTCGTCCCATCAGCAGCCGTTTGTGCCGGTTTCCTTACAGAGCTCAAATCCGAATCCAACACTGACTTGCAGTAGGCAAACGCTCGCAAAATCCATTGTTGCCATTCGCCGCCAATAAACATCAGTCATCTGTATTACTTCACATATTTGGTAGAATTATTGTTGGATGTCCTTAGACTTCCGTGGAACATTCCGTGGAAGTCCATGGAAGGTCCGCGGAAGTCCACAGAGTTCCATGAAATATTCCATGGAAGTCCGTGGAAACAATGGGTAGTGTCATGGAAGTCCATGTACGTCCATGACACCATGTCCATGACAGTCCGTGGTAGTCCATAAAACGCTTCATGATGGAAAACTATGAAACAGTTCACGGGCGTCAAGTCAATATTCCAGTGAAGCCATGTCAGACAACCGAAGCCCTCCGTCCGCCCCAACATCTACTTAACATTTCGTGGGTATTTCGTGGGCATCCTTGAATGTCCATCAATATTCAACAAGGTTTTCGTGTGATTGAGAGCGAAGTTTCTGATTGAGAGCGAGATTGCGCGATGCGCTGTAGCTGGACTACCGCTGAGAGGTGGAGCTTGCTGCGTGACTTGAAAAGAAGGCCTACCCTGGTCATCCTGTGGGCGTCTCTCGTTGTGGAGCTACAGCGGGGAGCAGAATCTACAGCAGAGCTCACCGCCCGCGATCAAATCGCCCTGAAACAGTTTGAGGCAGGAATAGCCAATCTGGGGAAATCTAGCAACTTGTCTAGCTCCTAGCTGCAGCATCCGATCGCGATGACACGCATATGCTCGTGACGCTGCTGATGAGACCTTCAATTTGCGCCGCTTCTTGGGAAGAGCCCGCCCCCTACTTCCCAAGAAACGGCAAGAGGCGTCTGGACCCGAAATTTCAATTTTTTTGGCTCCCGCTCTCAATCGTATACTCCGCTCTCAATCAGGCGAAAACCCTGTTATTCATGAAACGGTAACCACATGGCGTTCCATGGATTTCCATGGGATACCATGCCATCTTTCATGGAAATCCAGGAACGCTCACGAAACATTTCATCGATGTCCATTGATCAGGTTCAATGATATTCCGGGAACCTTCATGGGCGTTCATGAATGGATTATAATCAAATGATTCATGACAAATATGTCATGGACATCCACGGAAGGAACTATTCACGAACGTTCGTGAAAAATGTGGTGAACCTCCATGGACTTCCATGGACTTCCACCAACCTTCCATTGCATTCCAAGGAAGTTCATGGAAGTCCATGACAGATAAAACGTCCACGGAATTTTTCATGGAGTTTCATGGAAGTTCATGGACCGCCTGGAACCTTCCATGAACTTCCATGGACATCCTTCCATGGACATAACATTCCGTCCGGGGTCACACAGGAGGGGGGTACCCACGCCGGGTTTTTTTTCTTTTTTTTTTTTTCTTTTGTCCCCACCTACCATGGACATCCTTCCATAGACATACCATTCCGTTCGGGGTCACACAGGAGGGGGGTACCCACGCCGGGGTTTTTCTTCTTTTTTTCTTCTTTTGTCCCCACCTACCGCCTGCGGTGCCTGCCTGAGATGTGTTTTTAGCGAACGGGGTACGCAATCCCTTCCCTCGCGACGACTAGGTCGATGTCGACAATGAAGTCGATCAGTTTACTAACAACGAGCTTTGAAGCGCGTCGCTTCCAACCTAGACATTGATTTATTTAGAGAGAAAAACCTCACTATGCCGGAGCGCGAACCCATGATTTGGCCCTTCGCAGGCTGCGAGGATACCCAATAGAGAACCGGAGCGACCGGTGTGCACATAATGTGACCTTCTAAACTGCATGCCATAATTTCGATCCGGTGGATGGACAGGCGTCTACACACAATTATTGCCGGAACGGTTTCGGACAGGAAAGCTGTGACAAAACGAGATAGGATCAGACCGAACGGAGAATCCGATGCACTCTATTCTGAAACTCATCGGATGAATTCATCGGATGATGGCGGCCTGTGAGCGGCCCGTACTGAAAATGGCAACTAATACCAATCTCCCTGGAAATTTAGTCGGCATGTTCGTGAGTTCGAATCCCCACGGGGAAATAAATTATCACAAAATGCTCGGTCGGGTGAAAGCGAAATATAGCTACAAAAAAGCTCTCGAGAGCACCAAACTTCGATGTTATTTGCACCGTTGACGAGGGAAAGGGACCTTTCTCGCGATAAAAAAAAAAATCTGAAAGAACCGCAAGAGAAAGGCGGGGCACGAAAAAAAAAGAAGAAAAAATCCCTGGTGGTAGCTTCCTGTGTGAACCTGGATGGTTGGTCGTAGTTGTACGAAAACTACCCTCGAAAAGTGTAGTACTCCTACTTACTCCACAGTACACTGAAAAATGTAGTAGTATAGTAAAATAGGGGAATGTCGCAAAGCATACCAAGGCCACGAAGCTGGAAAAGACGTTCACCTGTATATGGTCCTACTGTATGTATATGTAGTGTATGGGCTTGAGAGTGGCCGCACGCGGAAGCAGACTCGGGACATGCAAGGTGCCGAGGAGATGCCGGGGCCCGGAAAAACACCGGACCCGGAAGAGGCATTGCTGGCGACCATCCTGGAAACTGGTGGGACGGGGATTGTTGAG